CTGATATCATCTCCCTGATGGGCTACCTCCCGAACGCGTTCGATTTCTTTGCTGCCACTCCATTATTATTCTCAGACATCATCCTCTCCAGCAACCTGTCCTGCCCTAGCCCATTTACTTTTCTTAATAGTTTGGATAATTTCATTAACCCACCTATACAGGAGGTCGTGGGTTCGATCCTGACCCTGACGCCTGCTGTATATTTGCAGTGTGCAGTGTCTCTCTCTCCAAGGTCGTGTGGATTTTTCTCCGTGTCCTTCTGTTTATCTCCAAATTGCGAATCAACTTTCGTTTAGAGTATTTGACTGCCGTAAATTTCCACACGATAAGCCAATTCGTTAGGCTATCATTTGTGGTGAGGTCGCTTCTCAAAAGAGTTTCATAGCTCGGTGGGCCTCACCTGGTAAAAATTGTTTTGTATATTTGCAAATTCGTGCATTCCTCTGTCGATCTCTCAATGGAATCCCAGAATGCATCACGTTATGCTTCTCTCTGTATTTCTTTTTCGTTAAACACATTCCTGCTGAGGGAGCTGGTAGGAACGGTGTGTTGCTCGGTCAATGGCCAGGGTCAACGGCGGCGTGGTGTATTCCACAAATATGCCCGACTGTGAAGGTGGGCACAAGCCGGCGTGAGTAGCTTAAACGTTGAGTTTTATAAGGGCACCACGGGGTGACCAGCCCCTCCCCACCCAGCCCCACCCCTCCCACCCCCCACCCAGCCCCTCCCCACCCTCCCCTCCCCACCCAGCCCCACCCTCCCCACCAAGCCCCACCGTCCCCACCCAGCCCCTCCCTCCCCACCCAGCCCCCCCCCCACCCTCTCCTCTCCATCCCAGCCCCACCCCTCCCATTTTTCGATGCACGACGGACGGACACAATAATCCCCTGTGGGCTGGTGTAACCAGGAGGTTCCTACCAGTATAACTCTGTGTCTGAACCAAACGTCATAGCATATAGCACGCACATAGTTTAACACTTTCACCTGGTGCAGGGAACAATAACCCCAATATATCGCTACAGACACACAGGCATGCACATAGACATTAATGTTTCAAGTTTGTTTTCCTGAAAGCAGGATGAGTCTCATTTGCAAGAGTACACTTGGCATATTAGTCTGCCAGTACAGGGAGACGACGATTTCTGCGCTCAATTCCAAACGAGAGTGACTTGCGGGGTTTAATTAAAAAAGTCGCCTAATTTTGGAACTCCAACGCCGGCATGCAGTGGCTTTACTCTTGCGAACGGGGTCACCGGCTCTTTAACGTCCGCTGCGAAGCAGAAGGCGCATGCTCGTAGTTTTTTTTCACGGATCAGTACGCAACCGCAACGTTAACCAGGGCGGGCGCCCACTGGATTCGAACCTCTAACCACCTACAAACGAGCGGCGATTGCAACTGGCACTAAGGTGTCAAGGGAAAGGGGGTAGGCGTCTGTCACAGCAAACATCTTCGTGCAAGGAGTGCAGAGCGACATTGCTTTTGTGGCAACTGCTGTTGTGTGGGATGACAGGTCATCACGGTGCCTTTGTGTGAGTCATCGCTCTCAGCGTTGTTTGAATCGTAAATCTGTTTTCTTCTTTGACAACCGTTCGTCGTTCCGTAATGACTACCGCGGTTCTAAGAAGAACTTTGATTGTTGCTTATCGTTTCATAGCTCATGGGGCTCCGAACTCGGTCGGCATGCGTTTGATTCTCAGCCACTGGTGATAATATTCGTTGCAGGTGGCATCCAAACCTGTCACTGGGCCTCCCCTAGGTTGAGTCGAATCTCAACTGAGCACCTAACGTGGTAAAAAAAAAAAAAACCCATCAACACTGGTAATGTTTGGGGCAGATGCATACTCCATAAGTGCACCGTGCTTGGCTTAAATGATGTGCTTACTAAGAGTCTGCATGGCTATCAGGAGGCTCTTTGTCTTTGTGTAGATAAGTGTACATGTGCAGCCTTTGCCACAATCCACATTTTGTTTTTACATGCCGTGCGGTTTGTGCGTGGCTATTCGATCAGACTTCGCCATGCCAGGCGGTGCAGGCTCACGAAGGCGGTGAGCAGAGATGTGGGAGCATTGAAGTACAGCACAACGATGCATTTTGCTTCACTGCCCCCCTCTGTCGACCACTTGCACGTAGCATCTGCGTGGCAGCCGCCTATGACGAACAAAGCGATATGCAGCTTCAAATCTAGAATGCAGTCACATATCCTGCTTAGGCGGGCAGGATAATGGTCCTGCAAACGCGGAGCACAAGACAGCCCCTCCTCAAGATGGGCATTCGCCCGACTCCTCTATGCTGGCCAAACGTCTCGGAAGAGTTTCGATTTAAAGCTTTCGTGACTGCAGGGATTCATCTTCTTGGTTCTTTCGGTAAAGTCACGTAGAAGGAAAATAATAAAATAATAAAAATAAAACATAGTAAAATAATTCTCACGACGTTTCGGCCACAACGCAAGCAGCCGTCTTCAGGTGGAGAACAGGTCTGTCAAGTAGACAGACTCTGTCTAGGTGGAGAACAGGTCTGTCAAGTAGACAGACTCTGTCTAGGTGGAGAACAGGTCTGTCAAGTAGACAGACTCTGTCTAGGTGGAGAACAGGTCTGTCAAGTAGACAGACTCTGTCTAGGTGGAGAACAGGTCTGTCAAGTAGACAGACTCTGTCTAGGTGGAGAACAGGTCTGTCAAGTAGACAGACTCTGTCGAGGTGGAGAACAGGTCTGTCAAGTAGACAGACTCTGTCTACTTGACAGACCTGTTCTCCACCTGAAGACGGCTGCTTGCGTTGTGGCCGAAACGTCGTGATAATTATTGTATTATGTTTTATTTTTATTATTTTATTATTTTCCTTCTACGTCTGGGAAGAGGTTGGAGTACACACACTTTACCCCACCGCGAGGCGGCCTGCGGCTGATGGACTAACCGTGGTGCGCCCCGTTCACTCTGCAGGGTGGACAGCGGTGCAGGAGTGGGATTTGAAAAGCAAAACAAAAACAGCTTCCAGGGTGTTTATTGGTGTGTGCGAATAATCAGGAGTGCCATCACTTGCTCTGGAAGGCATGGGGGTCTCTGACACAGCCGAGGTGTGTGCAAGCTTCGATTGCATGCGGACCGCTCTGCGGATGTGTGTGCATTGCGTGTGTGTCGATTAGGGAGCGGTAGTGTAGCGGTCAGCGCGCTGCACTACGAACCTGGTGACCCGGGTTCGATTCCCGCTCACGGCAAACACCAGTGACGATTATCTGAACCGGTCCTGGGCATCCCCTAGGTCGACTCAGCCTCAAATGAGTACCTAGTGTGGTGTGTAAACATTGCCGCTAGGGAGAAAAAGGCGGTCGGGCGTGGTGCTGGCCACACACCCCCTCGTGTACCGTTCCGGCCTTCATAGGTGCTCGCTAACAGCACTTGCCCCTACAGTCTGTTAAGGCTATATGGGGGATCTTTGTCGATTAGGGTTGGCGTAGTGGTTAGCCCTATGCTGCGCTACGAACCCGGCGACCCGAGTTCGATTCCCGCTCACGACCAACACCAGTGACGATTATCTGAACTGGTCCTGGGCCTCCCTTAGGTCGACGCAGCCTCAAATGAGTACCTAGTGTGTAAACATCGCCACTGGGGAGACAAAGGCGGTCGGGCGTGGTGCTGGCCACACACCCCATCGTGTGTTGTTCCGGCCTTCATAGGTGCTGCTCGCTAACAGCACTTGCCCCAATAGTCTGTTCAAGGCTATAGGGGGGGATCTTTGTCGATTCGGGGGTAGATTGTCGAGGATTAGTCCGACCCAGAACAAAGCAGCGTGTGTAACCTGCTGGGCTTGTCACGGCGAGGTGGCGAATTCAACTCCACTGCCTCCCAAACGCGCCGTACGCTCCAGCCGCACTGACTCACGCGATCACCCACGCACCCATCCCGCACCCATCCCCAGAGGTCGCAAACGGGTTTTGATTCCTTACCCGTACCCGTATTTGGCCGCACCGCGATACCCGTACCCAACCCGATACCCGGCTACCCGTACCCAGCCGGGTATCGTGTAGGGTACGGGTACGGGTACCCGATTGCAACCTCTGGGATGAAGCCATGTTGCAGGCACGGGTGGGTTGATTCTAGGAACTTGAATTGTGAGAAGAGACAAGACGTTGGGAAATGAGTGACAAACGGTGACTCACCAGAGACTCACGGCCTACCCGTACCCGTACCCGGCCGCACCAGGGTCGAAAACGGCTACCCGTACCCGGGTAGCCGGGTATCGGCTAGGGTACGGGTATCGGGTACCCGATTGCGACCTCTGCCCATCCCGCAGCCCAACCCCCCAACGTGTGACGTCACAATTGAGCTCTGGTCGACGTCACCGCGCGGGACCGCACTGCGTTACATCCATCGTGCGCGTGTGCGCAATCACGGGCACGCGCGCGCGGGGATGACGCAGCCGGCTTCGTTGTGCATCGCGAGGTCGGAGGTCACCGGTTTTTACACGCTTTTATTTAACTCACTCTGCTGTTGTTGTTGTTAATAAAAATAAAAACTAAAACAATAAAATCACGACGTTTCGGAGCCAACACAAGCTTCCGTCTTCGTCGTGATTTTATTATTTTTGTTTTTTATTTTTATTAATTTTGATTTCATTTTTTACCTACGTGACTTTACCGAAATAACTAAGAGTATGAATCCTTGCAGTCACGAAAGTTTTAAATCTAGAAAAAAAACTTGGTATACTTATGTCATACTGATGACAATACTATATTCTATCAAAAAAAATATTTTTAAACATTCATTTTTAAATGTTATGTTTCGGCTTGGGTCTAATTGTCCACGCTCAACTGACGTTGGCTGTAAATCACTACTGTCCTATACGTTATGGCAAACCTCGGGCCACTTCCTGGAGTCGTAGAGTTCTGCCATTCCGAGTAGGGTCCATTTCATTAAAGCGTGTTTAAAAAAAAAGTATTTTTTAAATATGACTTATTGATCTAGTGGCTGGGGGGGGGGGGGGGGGGGCTTCATCTTGACTGGGACGTCCATCACCACTGTCCACCCCAGCAGTTGACTGGCCCCGGTTCCGCGTGCAGCCGGGTGATGCCGTGGATGCTCTCTCACCTCTTCAAAGACATCTGGCGCACGTGAAACGAGTCGGCCAGATGCCCCCTACGGGGTTGGGGGGCTCCCTCTCGTTGGCTCGTGTTCATAACCAGGTTGACACGTGGACCGTGGCACCCCAATCGAGATCTGGAATGCCACGTTTGAAGTGTAGGACGCTCACCGCTGCAGCGTCACTCTCTCACGCGCGCATGCCCAGGCACGCACACGTGACTTCGTGCGTGATGGTATCTTTGTTCGCGATTTTATTCTTGCACGAGGTTTGCCAAGTCGATTCCTGTTTTTTTTTTTGGGGGGGGGACGGGGGGGGGTAACTCAACCAATCATCCCTCCCAGGGTGAATAAAATTGACATCACTTCGTGGGGAAGTCAATTATAGCTGTCTTATGGATAGACTTGCCCCCACCAAGGGAACGTGTAATGGTCACCACTGGCTCAAGGCTGTAAGCAGGACATAAGCACCACCTTAATAATCTTTTTTGAGCAGGAAAATCACTTTGGATGTTGTCTTGTTACTAATGTTTGTACTCAATCTGGTTATGGCGTCTTATATATAACAACGTAACGACAAACACGTTTGAATATATCCCTGGTATGTTGGTTCGTCCGTGTCTCAGGCCTATTGTCCTGGTGAGGGTCACGGCGGTAGCGTGTTGAGTGGTGGCGGTCCACACCTCCCCTCTCCCTGGCGACAGACTCCAGCACTACTACACTATACACTACTATACACTATACACTACTATACACTATACACTACTACACACTATATACTACTATACACTATACACTACTATACACTACTACATTATACACTATACACTACTATACACTATACACTACTATACACTACTATACACTATACACTACTATACACTATACACTACTATACACTATACACTACAATACACTATACACTACTACATTATACGCTACTATACACTATACACTACAATACACTATACACTACTATACACTATACACTACTACATTATACACTACCATACACTATACACTACTACACACTACCATACACTATACACTATTACACTATACACTACTATACACTATACACTACTATACACTATACACTACTACATTATACACTACTATACACTACTATACACTATACACTACTATACACTATACAATACTGTACACTATACACTTCTACACTATACACTACTATACACTATACACTACTACACTATACACTACTATACACTATACACTACTATACACTACTACACTATACACTACTATACACTACTATATACTATACACTACTATACACTATACACTACACGACTACACTAAACACTACTGCACTACTATACACTACTGCACTTTACACTACTACACGATACACTACTATACACTACTACACTATACACTACTACACTATACACTACTATACACTATACACTACTATACTATACACTACTATACACTACTACACAATATAATACTTCACTATACACTACTATACACTATACACTATACACTACTGTACACTACTATACACTACTGTACACTTCTACACTACTATACACTGCACTATACACTACTACACTATACACTACTATACACTACTATACACTACACGACTACACTAAACACTACTACACTACTATACACTACTACACTATACACTACTATACACTACTACACTATACACTACTACAATATACACTAAATACACTACTACACTACACTACTATACACTACACTATACACTACACTACTATACACTACTACACTATACACTACTACACTATACACTACACTATACATTACACTATACACTACACTATACACTACTACACTATACCCTACACTATACACTACACGCCAGCAGCAGCGTGTCCTGGGCCAGCCCCGGGGTCTTGGCCCAGTGGGACGAGCTGCTGCTGCTGCTACCAGGTAGAGTTCCAGGGGGAGGCTACCGGGGGGGGGGTGCATCTTTACCGGGTGCCCGAACCACCTCAACTGGCTCCTCTCGATCCGAAGCAGCAGCGGCTCGACTCTGAGGCTCTCCCGGTCACGGAAAGCGATCGCGTCAACCCTGCAGGCAGAAGCACCTTGTACCCGAAATCTCGTGCTTTTCGTTATGATGATGTACGAGTACGTATAAAAATAGCCTCTGTTAAATCTTAACATTTTTTACATGCTCGATTAATATTTATTGCAAAAAAATGTCTGGCAATAAACCGAAGCCATATCTTGCCCTTCATAACCAATGTAGTTGTAATATTTCATTCATTACTTGTATCATGGATACTTTGTTTTAAAGTTAATTATTTTATTGCCGCGTTAATATTAATCAGAGAAGTATAACAATGCTTTACGCTAATGAAAGTTTAGATACGAATAACACTTTTTTTAACGAATTTGCCATCGGCGATATGCAATTAAAAAGTAGAAATGTTAATATAAAAAATATACACTGGTATTTATCAAATAAAACATTGCATTCATTAGCGTGTGTGTCTGAATAAAAAAAAAATCTAATCATAAGAGTAAATGTGTTGCCGTAATGTGCTAAAAGCCACGTGAAGCACTGAGTTAACCACGCGAAGATTAAAAGGTTATATTTTAAATAGCAGATGTTTCACTGATTCTTGGTTTCACAATGAACATGATGAAATGGGCAAATTACGAAATGTGCTGTGGACGCCTAGGGGCTCTCTGCCCCATGGATCGTGATGATGATGATGAAGAATGAATGAACATGATTCTAAACTTGTCTTACATTCAAACTTTCTTCATTCATCGATATCGAACGTCGCTTTAACAAAATGTCATCGCCACACTTGGGCTACAATTGTGCGTGCGGATGCTCGAAACGTGTCGTGGATTTTTCGTGAGTTAATTACTCGGTCGGGAATGCGCGTTAACACAATGCGCGATGCGCTGTACTCATCGAATGATTCACCTCTCGGTCTTTCCAGTCGAGTGTGAACACGTCGATGCGTGCGCGTGACAATTACCACGAACATGCACAATTTCCTCGTCCGTGAAGCAACGTTAGACCCTCGGCCCACCACGGCCTGCGAGATCACTGCGAACGCGGGCATGGCTCGTCAAGAGCGAACGCGAGAAGCGCGCAAGGTGACGACGGATTACCCACTGCAGATGCAAGAGAGGTCATCGTCCTCGGGAACGGACTGCACGGCGATGACGATGATGATGACGATGATGGCATTGCGATGATTGGCCAGGAGCATTCATGAGCGTTTCGTACTCAGAGGTTATCGAGCCTCTCAAAGGGGGAGCAGGAGGTGCAGGATGCAGAATGGATACCGTGCAGGAGTATTTTTGATTCAATGTGTGCAGGGGAACAGCAGCGTGACGTTGAGGCGACAACACACACGTGTACAAGACGACACGCCGTGCCGCGATGATGAGATGTTAACTACCTCGCCTGGCGTACAGGAGCTCGTGGGTTCGATCCCGACCCTGACGCCTGCTGTGTATTTAGAGCTTGCGTGTCTCTCTCCCCGTGTCCGCTTGGACTTTTGTCCGGGTCCTCCGATTTTTCCTTCCACATCTGGAATCAAGGTTCGTTTAGAGAATTTGGCTGCGAAACATTTCCACACGATGATAAGCCACTTCTTTGAGCTATCATTTGTGGCCAGGTCGCTTCTGAAAGCGAGCTATACAGGCCTTACCTGGCAAAATAAACAAAACAATTGCTTAGTTTAGATCAGTGGTTCGTAACCTTAATACAAATAATGTTAATCATGTTATGCCATAATAATGAAAAGTATAATGTTAATAAATACACAGTTTTGATGAAACAAAGTCGTTATGCGTATGTGCCCGTCCTGAATTCGTGTTTTCGATGATTTACCTTTAAAAAAAAAATCTGCCCACGTCCCGCACCCCCAGAAAGGGCATCTCGCACCCCCAGGATAAGAACCACTGGTTTAGATGTTTCAGCGACATGATGGGTGGGGGGGTGGGGAGTTTGGGGGTCTGGGCTCTTTGGGGGCAGGGAGCCCGAGGACTCGTGCTCTTGACTGGGGGGAGAGGGGGTGGTACCAGGTACCACACCAACAATCTTGAGAACCAGCGGCTTCAGAAGCCAAAGGCACGAGCAACACACCCATGACATATGAAGGATCAACGCTCCAAGCTCCACATTTACATTTCTTTACGGCTATCTTTCCACCTTGTATCCGACTCACGTTATCGATGTTTTCACACACCTGCCTGACACCTCGGGGTGCCCAGTGAGTCGCATATGTGACGTTGGACCACACCGTTTGTTTTTTGTAAAGTCAGTCTTGGGGAAAAAAATGAGTGAAGCACAAATTGCTTTAGAAATGCAGAAATTTTTTTTTTCCCCAAGACGCTGAGACCATTCAGGGTTGGTTAATTTTGTTAATTAGGCTGCATACTATGAATGGTATTTCCAGACAGTGAACTATTTTTTCTATTGTCATCTGTTTGACACTTGTGGTGCTGAAGTTAGGATCAGAACTTGCAATCAACATCTTAGGGTAGAACATTTTTTTTTATTTTTGAAGCTATCTAGTCCATGGTAGATGCCTGCCAGAAGCGTTTTTTTGTCTGTTGCTTACACAGAGCCAGAAACTAGGTCATTAATTTCATGAACGTTATGTATGTATAATTATGTTTAATTAAACTAGACTCAGAGCTAAGCAATCCAATTTCTGAATTTCAACATCTGGAGGCGTATGTGCAGTGACTGATGACATAGAAGCATCATTTATAATACTGTGTGAAATTGAACAATCCTGTTGTGCACAATATGCAAAAGTCACATTGATGTATTGCTCAAACGAGCATTCAGGCAATGCTGATGTCCTCTTGTCAGCACTGACCCAGCGGTGGACATTCCACATTCCTTTAACGAGTAGGGGGAGTCGAAAGTGGAGAGTTGGGTTCTCTTCATTCGACAACCACAGTTGAATTCTAGATTTGAAGCTTTCGTGACTGCAAGGATTCATATTTGTAGGTTTTTTTTCGGTAAAGTCACGTAGGTAAAAAAATAAAATTAAAATTAATAAAAGTAAAATAAAAAAATTATAAAGGAAAATAAAAATAAAATTAAAATCACGAAGTTTCGGAGGCAACACAAGTCATCAGGTGGGACTGTCACAGCTAGATTTGCTGTATCAAGTGAGGCAGGGATTGGAATCCGTCACAGCTAGATTTGCTGTATCAAGTGAGGCAAGTGAGGCAGGGATTCCAATCTCTGCCTCACTTGATACAGCAAATCTAGCTGTGACGGTCCCACCTGATGACGGAGACTTGTGTTGCCTCCGAAACGTCGTGATTTTTATTTTATTTTTATTTTACTTTTATTAATTTTTATTTTATATTTTTACCTACATGACTTTACCGAAAAAAACCTAAGAATATGAACCACAATTGAATTTTATCGACCTTGCAAAGATGATTGGGCTGCCCTACCAGGATTTGAACTGGCAACCTTGCAAAGACGGGCCACTCGCTCTCTCGACCGCTGGGTCATCGCGGGAAGGAGCCAATGCAAATATTGCACACGGCCTCTAGCAGCCCTGTATTCTAACGGCGTCATAAACATGAGTGATGTCGCATACTGTACGTTATGATGGTGTTGATTTATTAGCAATTGCAGTTCGTGCTGTAATGCTACTGCACGGTAAACAAGGGAATTGTCGCATCAAAAAGAGATTTATTCCAAATATTTGTTTTAAAAAATTTCAGTCATTGTGCACCGCTGGCCTTGCACCAGAAGTTCAATGTTGCAATCGAGGGGACGTTTTAAAATTTTCGTCACGAAATCAAACATATCTTTTTGAAGTAAAAAAAAGAAATACCTCGGATGATAACTCTTCAAATGGCAAAACATGCCGCGATATTATCTCAGCATATGTAAATTCAAAAGCCTTCATAAAGTTAGCCAATTTCAACAGATGGGGAAACCCAATTAATATGATGACTTGCATGTGTCCCGCAGACAAGCAGTAAATCACTTTTGTCACGCATTTTGGGAATCTGCCCCAGGCGTTTGGAAGCCTTCTTCAGGCTCAGCACACAAAGGGCACATTGTTTCAACTTGTATCAACGGCAATTTCCGTAGAGTGGCATCACTCCTCGGTGTTAAATGGGAATTTTAACCTTTTCCCTTACTGGGAGCTCTCCAGATTGTAAAGAGCTCACCCACGGTATGAGGCTAGTGGCTAGGAGATGTTAACTACCTCGCCTGGTACACAGAAGGTCGTGTGTTTGGTTCTGACCCTGAGTTTACATGTCCTCTCTCTCCCCATGGCCCTCTGCTTCCCCCTCCCCTACACATCGAGAAACATGTGTTTAGAGCAATTAGCTGCTATGAATTTCCACGTTATTAGCAGCTACGTTGAGCTATCATTTGTGGCCAGGTCACTTCTGCAAAAAATAACTTTATAGCTCAGTGGGCTTTACCTGGTAAAATAAAAAAATATATATATTTTTAAGCATCCTCCAGGTTTTCATATAAGGCCGGTCACTCGCTACACCTGCGTTCAATACAGACTCCTTCTCTTCGTTTCAATCTCCCCACACTTTGCTTACCAGCCGCGACCTACTTACCTCGATGGTCGCTTTCTCACCGGCTCACCTTCCCACTCACCGCTCTCGAATGCACAGTTTGAACAACGCCCGTGTGCTCTCGTGCACGTGTGCGTTAATAGGTGTCACGCGCAAACGGCACTTGTCCCAACAGTCTGTTAGAGGCTACCCGGGGAATCTTTGTCTCAAGCACAGACCCCGTTAATTGCTTCCACAGACCTCCAGGGGATTGTCACCTGTGCAACTGCCGCTGAAAGCGCCATTCTGCAACAGTGTCCAAACGCATTAGCTTGACAACGCATTTTAATAAGTAAGAGACATTCCACATCGCTCTGTGTGAAGCCAAGATTCAAGTTGGCTACGAGTTCGTAAAACATGCCTTCACCAAAAAAAATAGCAAATAAAACTCCGGTAAAGTTTCAAGCTTCAAGTTCATTTATTAGGTATAGTCCTGTGAGCCATTCGGCTCTTGAATCGGGTGCAACCGCAACAAACAAAAAACAAAAACATGAACAAAAAACATCTTAAAGTGAATATGTGAAGTTAATAGCGAGCACAACAAATGGATACACTCTGCCACGTTTCACTTTGCAACGCACGCGCCGTCACGGCGTTCTAATGTTCGCACAAGTTCCATTACTTCCTGGAATCATCAGTTGGCAACATAAAAAATGAGAGATACAAACGTGCATGTCCTTCCACAAACAAAATATGCATCTTACTTGTGAAAACGGTTTGTAAAAATGCATTCTTTACACTCGTGTTTTTTCTGAATACATTTTGGGGCCAGGGAATATTTTTTTATTTGAAATAAACTACACATAATGGATTTAATCCAATTAGAGTTATAATCGGAAACACACTATAAAACAGCCGTAAATCACTGCACACTGCACCAGTAGCGGCTGTTAAAGGGGAATAGTTCCCTGTTGGAAAAGAGTAAAAGTTACTCAACTTAGTGAAATACAGTTTCATTCAAGTACATGCAGTCAGATCTTCTCCTCCAGACTGAAAACCCAGTCACAGTAGATAACAATGAACAATCTTAATATTTAGTCTTATGTAGCGTCATTCACGAAATTCAGATTTCACAATCGCTAAGGAACCACAGACAAGCTGGGAGGCAGCCAGGCGGTGACCTGGTGCCAACAATTGCCCAAGCTCTGCGATCCTCTCTGTATTACGATTTTTTTTGTAACCAAGCAATGTGTTTATACATGTGAGAGAGACGTAGGTAAAAAATGAAATTAAAAGTAATATAAATAAAATAATAAAATCACGACGTTTCGGAGGCAACACAAGTCTTGTGGTCTTGTGTTGCCTCCGAAACGTCGTGATTTTATTATTTTATTTTTATTAATTTTAATTTCATTTTTTACCTACGTGACTTTACCGAAAGAACTAAGAGTATGAATCCTTGCAGTCACGAAAGCTTCAAATCTAGAATGTGAGAGAGACCCGGAGCACGTGGAGAATAAACCACGCACGTGACCGGGCACCATAGAGATGGAACAGATGGAGTTCGCATTTGTTGTGACAACCTTCTTCTGGCGAGCCACGCTTTGGCACCTCGACGCCCCCAACAGTGCTGATTTACAAGCGTCACGGTGGCGAGATGTTAGCTACCTCGCCAGGTATACAGGTGGTCGTGGATTCGATCCCAACCCAGACGTCATTGCGTGGGTTTTTCTCCAGGTGCTCCGGTTTTTCCCTCCACATTTATATTAATGCGTTTATTTGGCTGCTATAAATTCCCACGTGATGTCAATCCATTTCATCGGGCTATCATTTGTGATAGCCAAGTCCAAATCCCTGCCTCACTTGATACAGCAAATCTAGCTGTGACGGTCCCACCTGATGACGGAGACTTGTGTTGCCTCCGAAACGTCGTGATTTTAATTTTATTTTTATTTGACTTTACTAATTTTATTTATATTTTTTTTACCTATGTGACTTTACCGGTGGGGCCTCACCTGGTAATACATAAAAGTAGTTTTACAAACAGTGTACAGGCCACGTGATGCATAGCCACCACTACCCCAGGGGTGAATCGCAAAAAAACATCACACAGGCCAGGTCAGTGCTGCTTTTGACTCGACCACAAGTCTAAAGCTAAAGGTGCTAATTCTAGATTTGAAGCTTTCGTGACTGCAAGGATTCATACTCTTAGGTTTTTTTCGGTAAAGTCACGTCGGTAAAATTTTTGCTGTGACGGTCCCACCTGATGACGGAGACTTGTGTTGCCTCCGAAACGTCGTGATTTATTATTTTATTTTATTTCTAAAGGTGCTACTCTGAAAATCGCTTGGTTACGCCCGCAGATAAGGATTTTTCACCCAAGGATTTCCCCATTGAAGAATTCGCCACCGTTTGCAGGAGGACCTCTAATCGAGGGAGCTCTGAAAGCCCCTTCCTGATGGAAGAGATTTAGTGCCCTTCTCCAGCACGCTGGCCGGGCGACTTAGAAAAGACGAGAGTGCTCACACTCGGTGGCGAGCGAGATGTTGACCACCTCGCCTGGTATACTGGAGGTCATCCGTTCGACCCCAACCCTGACACCTGTGTATTTGGAACTTACATTCTAGATTTGAAGCTTTCGTGACTGCAAGGATTCATATTCTTAGGTTTTGTCGGTAAAGTCACGTAGTTAAAAATTTTAAATTAATTAAAGTAAAATATTATTTTTTTTAAATTTTATTTTACTTTTATTAATTCTTTTTTTTTACCTACGTGACTTTACCGAAAAAACCTAAGAATATGGAACTTACATGTTTCTCCCCATGGTCGCGTGGAGTTTACTCAAACTGCTGTAAATTTCCACATGATAAGCCACTTGCATTGCACTATCATGAATGGCCAGGTCGCTTCTTAAAAGAGCTACATAGCTCAGTGGGCCTTACGTCGTTAAATAAAAATCGTTTTTAGGTTGCCCCACCGTACGCGACATGCCGCTCGACTGCGGTGCGACCGTTTATACTGCTGGCTGGACAAAGGCGGTCGGATTTGAGAAATGTGGTTGTCTCCAGTACAAGAACTTTGAGTCTGCTCTCTGACAGCAAAGCCTTCTTTTGCGAAACATGTTATCGTTATCTTCTTGGTTCTTTCGGTAAAGTCACGTAGAATGGAAATAATAAAATAAAAAATATAAAAAATATATATAATAGAATAATATTATAATATAATATATTATTTCCATTCTACGTGACTTTACCGAAAGAACCAAGAAAATGAATGCCTGCAGTCACGAAAGCTTTAAATCGAAATGTTTTTGTTATTTTCTTCAAACGTGAGACTTCTTTGCCAGCTGATAGAACTGAAGTCACCGGTGAAACACGGCGAAGTCAGTGGTATTTCTCTTTCCTTCCTTTTTTTTTCTCACCGCTGAGCCAGCTTGATGAAAGGAGACTCTCATCTCATGGAAGAGATTTTTTGCCCCAGCAGAAGGTGATTATGAAATACCTTTTGCCAGGGAGTTAGCGAGGATGAGAATTGATCCCCGAGCATCTGGTTTTGTGAGAGATTATTTAGGGCGGCGTACGGAAAACTTGAAAGGAAGTCACGATTTGAAGGCTCCACTTGCTCAGAGAGATGCGTCGCAAGGTAAAGGTGCAGCCCTGGAATTTCTTGCTCAATCCTCTGCTGGTGGAAGAGCCTCCACGAGAGGTAGCTCTCAAGAGCCCTGCTCATGGGTATTCGGCCTACTCTTCCACACTGCCCCCCCCCACCCCGCACCTCCGAATAGCATGGTTGGCTACGTACGGAGCGAAATAAGTCCAACATGCGTACACATACATGGCCAGATGTCTTGGAAGAGTTTGGAGTGCCCACACTTTACCCCACCACGCAAGGCCTATTGGCCGACTGTGACGAACTCATTCATACTGCAAGGTGGAAAGCAGAGGAGGTGGAGGCGGGAGGCGGGGGGGGGAGGGTTTAGAAATTTACGAGGAACTGCCGCGCCTGGAGATTGCATCGAACCGGCGACCTCTGGGTTTCGCGTGCGGTGTGCATGCAAGCACTACACCGTCCCAAAAGACGCGTTGACCCCGCTTCCTTCTTTGTTTTAAAATCCTTTATATTAAGTTCACTTGCTTACTTGCTTACGCGCTTACGACCGTGCAAATCTTTCGGTCGTTTTTTAACCCACTCCCGTGATCCAATCGAGCTGACATTTTGCACACAGACTCGTTGTGCGTGACAATTTATTTTCGTGAAATTTTTTTCCAAATTTTTTACACTTTTTAGGAATTTTTTTAAAATATTTAATTACCAATTGCTTAATGGTGGCAGGCAATCATCTGACCCATAGGTGGCAGCCATCTCAAGCCAGAGGACGAGAGGACTCTCGCCGCCCGTTTCAAAGACCAATGTGGGCTGGGTTGTGGCCCATTGAACACGCAAATAAAGGATTTATAGTGAAAAACTTTGTTTTTACGGGTTAATTTTTTTACATCTTTCAACTCGCGCTTGAGTCTTGATCAACAACATTCACTTAACCATTGCACGAACCCAGACTATAGAGATGTCAAAATAGATTGTAGCCCTTTATGTGCAAGCCTCGGGACTTTGTCCCATGTTATGCAACTGTGAACATTTCTGTCTTCTCTGCAAGTGATTGCCAGTTTGCTCACATATGTCACCACACAAGCGCCGACTTATAATATATACAGGCGCCTGCTGCTGCTAGTGATTGTATGTTGAAGTTCAACATGTATTCATTCAGTTTAGCACGTAGGCTTTCGCGACCAATATTATTCATAATAAACGTTTTTGAGTTAGATCGCGTTATTTATAAATCTGTCGTAACCCTCCACCACCCGACACGGCCAATCAGCAAAAAAGTGTCACGTTGACAAAAGACAAATAGTTCACTACTTTAGCCCACCGATGTGTTGAAGAGTGAAACCACAACATTTACCAAAAAAACATTTCGTAAAAAATTATTGGGAAATGTTGTGATTTCACTCTTCAACACACCGGTGGGCTAAAGTAGTGAACTATTTTTTTTTTTGTCAACGTGACACTTTTTTGATGATTGGCCGTGTCGGGTGGTGTTGGGTTACGACACATTTATAATTAACGCGA